AGGCAATCGTTCGATGGGCTGAGTTGCACAAAACGCATGATCGCACCGGCTAGTCTGGTGCGCGTTTCTATTTATTTTTAAACGGGGAGCAGTGTTTATTAAAAAATTAAACAAAACACTTCCAGTTCAGCAAATTAAACCTGCTTTACAGTCGCCGCTTGATGGACATTCAATTTTCTCGAAATACCAGATATCAAAATTACTGTCCTCCATCATTCCATCCACACCTTAGCCTTTTCTAGAAACTCGGCCGCACTTCCGTCTTCTTCCAGTAATCAGTCGCACTTCAGCCCAATTCTTCTCGAGACTGTCCTAAACCCCTTGAACCAAGAAACAGCAACAAAATGCAGTAAATATTAGGTTGTTCGGGAAGTAATTTCCGTTTTCGACCGAAATTTTTAAAATGACATATCTCAGCAATGAATAAAATTTATTGATTGAAATAAGAACCATTAGAACCAACACATTTTTGCCAACACGCTACGAGCTTGTTTATTCCGGTTGTGTAAAAATCTGGATTTCTGGAGGCAATGAAATCATCGAAGGCAGCTTCGGCATCGACTTGGTTTCTGAAGCATTTCCCGCACGGAAAATTGTCGGGATGCTTGAGGAAGTGAAAGTCGGTAGGGGAAAGGTCTGACGAGTATGGTGGATGAGGCAGAGTTCCGTAGCCCAACACTTTTAACCGCTGCACCATCCCAGAGCAAGTTCTGTTACGAATGTTCTCAAAAATTTTCGGCACAGGTCAAAGAGACTGAAAAATTGCGGAATGAGACTATGTGTTATAGTTGATTTAAGTATTCTGAGGAAGTAAGGTAGTTTCGGCTTCTGTATTAGGACATAAAGGGAAAAGGAGTCTTCTCCTACGGTTTCGGAATGCTGGTGCTTTTTGCATCTTTGTTGCAGGGGTACAGAACTTTGGTATTTTGGTTAGCTGTTTAAAATCGCTTTTCTTTTCCTCGCGTTGATGTAGTTCGCAACTTCTCCATTCTTCTCTGTTCTAAACTACTCCCTGTCATGTCAAAACACGAAAAGTGATAGATCAAATTTGGTCTAGAATGTTGTATTTTGTTCTTTTGTGTGTATATAAAAAAATACGTAAAAGGAGATCACAATGAGGGAGAAGGATTTTGGATTCCTGGGGTAGGAAAGGTGGTCATTCAAAAAGAAGGGGCGTTGGAGCAAGGCGGCTACTGGAAGATTGCAAAGTCAAAAGGTGGATTTAGCGGGAAAAGAAGACTGCTGACGACCGTCAAGGGCCGACGAAGGGAATATTCTGTGGAGTGGTTGTGCTTTGGAATCGAAACGTGTATCATTTAAGT